TGGCAACTCCCTAACTTGCCCCATATTAGCACCAGCAAGTTGAAACCTTTGGTTTTCTGACATTTCTGGACACATACCAAATTGGTTGGCATGGAAATTGAAACAGATATCCCTGATCGTCAGAGGATGGATCATAGAGATAGAGAGGTTCTGCTTATCCAGTGAGCTATTTTCCCATTTGTACCATGGATTGGCACCAAATTTTGCACAGACATTTTTTGCCACCTACATAATAAATTATAGGCAAAGCAAGGCAAGGCAGCTTTATTTGTATAACACAATTTGTACCCGAGGCAATTCAAAGTGCTTCACACAAAACTATAAGACAGAAAAAGTCAATCTACAAAGCATAAACACAATCATTAATTACATTAAAGGCAAATAGGCAGATACAGTCAATCCATAAAAACATAAATATAATCATTCATTAGAAGGGTACAGATAAAATACTTCCAGCTGTCATATGCACAACTTAGTAAAACTGTTTTTAGCCTGGATTTTGGAAATTGGTCTGGAAATTATACCAAATTTTAGTGCCACCATGAGTTTTGGTTAAAATCTTGAAAACTTCTGGTGTAGACATTTATTCATGTCTCATGTCTCTGGATGAAATATAATAACTTCAGCAAGCCCTTCATGTTTCATCTAGCGCCATCCTCGGGTGACATTCCCATCAGCCTCTACTGTGTTTGGTGTATTTACCGAATGTTGGCAAGCGAACATGATACACCCTGTGTTAAAAATACATCTGACGATTGCTTGGCTATATTATAAGAGGTCTCCAGAGCCTGACTGAGGCTTCAACATGAATCTAATGGCCACTAGGTTTGGCTGACTGCTGTAAGCGACTCCTCCATTGCTGGTTACAAGGCCAAATTGACCATTAAGTCAATAAAAGACACTTCAGCCTTACTCCAACAACTGCTCTGTGAGCATGGATATGGTCAGTGGAGTAATGACTGGTTCCCTTCTGAGACTCAGCTCTGTTTAAAACATTCTGAAGCCTCACTGGAAGCCACTGATAGACATCCTGGTCACTGAAGTGTAACAAAACCAGATACAAGACACTGCTGCTCCCACTGGGACCAGTGGAGGACTGGCCATGTTGTGTTACAGTTGTGTGCTCAATGCCAGTAAGTTCTGCCTTAGTTTTCCCCTGGCTTAAACAGTTGATCTACCATTTAGTGGGGGGAAAAGTCCACAGTTGGATTGACACTGTAAGGTTTTGTATTGTGCAATACAGAGTAATATGAAATCTTATAAATTATTTGACTTTTCCTCTACCTGTCTCATACAAAGGACTTAATTTAATGCGATATCCTGCCACTCCAACGTGTTTAAACAAGAAGGTTCTTGTTGCTTTAGCTGGAAGGAAATAAATAAGAATATACAGCCTTGGAGCCAAGAATGTGGATTCTGACGTTTTTAAGATTCCAAATATATTATATTGTGGCTGCTTTGTATTATGAGCTATTGATCCTACTGTAGTGGGAATAATTATTGTGCAATAAAACCCTGTTTGGCCAGTTGTTCAAACAACTGCAAAAAATAGAACTAAAACAATAATGACTTTACAATAAACAACAAAATTGGAACAACATCCGCAACACAATTTGTATTTATTAAGTTGATTATTTGTTTACTTATCATTCAAATGGACAAAAGTAGGAAAAATACTGAGAAGCCAGTTTCCTAAAAGATTTTTTTAAGGCGCTTGTCTGTGATTTAATGTTGACTTTAGATGCTTACAGGAAATCAGACAGATTAAAGTCCCTCACTGGCCATTGATTAAACTCTTGAAAACTCATCTGTCTGTATCAAAATGTTTTTGTTTTTTTTTCATCCACAAAAATAATCCCTTCCTGCCTCAGAATGGCTTCACGCTAACTCTACACTGTGACTTCTTAGATTAATCTATTAAATCTCTGCCTCCATCTCTACTCACTCCAAACTGCTCGCTGCACCTCGAGCACACCAGCTCACCTACAGCTCTGCTCAAACGCTGCAAAGCAACTCAGCACTACACAAAGCAATGGCAAATTAGATTACTGGTGTCATTAAACCACATATGTTTATGCGAGAAAGAGATTCTGAGGAATGGAACAGAAAGCCCCGCCCCTCATGCTGACAGGATTGCTTTCTTGGATTTGCTACAAAATCTGAAGTTGTGTTTTTAAGGCTATTATTGCTAAGCTGTAATCTCAAAGTAGAAATGCTCATCCGTGGCGCTGACTGCTTATTTTGCTTATGATGTGTCTTCTAGCATATAAAAAAAACATCTTATGGAGACGTGAAGAAGGTAAAAAAAAAAAAACAGCAGCTTCATTTTCTTTTGAGGGCCCTTTGAAGGAATCAAATCACTACATTAGAGATTGAGTTGTCCTGACTATTAGTCCCCAATGGGGGCTAAATTCAGCAAAGACTGATTAAAACCAAAAATGCAGGAGTCTACATTTTCTATAACACAACCCACTGCATCTTTATATTAGCTCTTTCTGCCTTTCCAACCCCTTGTTCCCACAGAAGTCATTATCCAGCTGTTACACACAGACCAAGTAATACTCAGTGATAAGTAAAATGACCTTCATGGGGAAAATTGCAGATATTCACCTTTAAGTGTATTTACAATACAGTAGCCTGCCCCTCTTATTACAGCAGTCTTCTTATTTAAGTCTCCCTCCGGTCACTGATTAAAGCCTTATAAACTCATCTTGGTATTAAAATGACATTTTTAGAAGTTTTTTTTTCCCTGAACATAATCCCTTCCTGCCTCATGGCTTAGATGCAACTCTAACCGTCGCTTTCTTTGGAAAACACAGAAGGCCCTTCCCTCTGTCCATATCCAACAACCCTCCACTTGCTGCAGCTCAAGCACACCAGCTCACCCAGGACTCTGCTCAAACACTGCAGAACTACTCTGAGCTGCACAGTAGCACGCTGTCAGACTGGAGGAACTCAGCCATACATGCTGGGAGAATAATGACACATTAGTACTGAAGTAATGCTTCGTTTTATTTCATGTGAAACCCTGGAAGTCCGATTGCGTGTTTTTGAAGTCATTAACAGCTCATTTTACTCATAATGTGTCTTCCAACATATGGAAAGCACCATATAGACATATTAACAAGGTAAATGACTTGGTTTTCACCAGAGGGGGATCTTTAGAAGAATCAACTCATTTGTTAAATTAGTGTAGATATTATTCTGTCATCATCCTTTACTTGCTATAACGTATAACGCTTAATTCAGACTGCACAGTAATATTCCAACCTGACAGATGTGGGGTGAAAATGGCCAAGAGTGTGACACTTAATCCTCTTTCCAGAGCCGTGTGTCACGGTGGAAGGCTTCGTGCCCATTTTGACAGCTTCTCGTCGCGTCCCATTAAGTTGACCCACGAGAGCAAAGAGTGCTCAACAATATGCAACGACCAGGAGCTTTAATGAACCCCACCTGTGGCTGCACGCACATTGTATGTAAGATCCTCACTTACACTCTCTCTTTGCTGACTGGTAAGGGAAAAGACGGGACTGTTTAGTGATGACTAACGGTTTGAGATTTGTCGCTGTACATAAGCCCAATATTTGTTGGTGGAATGCTAACCTTACGATTGACCGCACGCCAAGCAAGGTGAGAAAGACATCGAGCTGTGATTGGTGTGTGTCCAAAAACATTGTCTGCTCTTACCATACGACAAAAGGTGAAGTTGTGACGAAATCCATAAATGTTTTATGCAATGTCATTTACATACACAAGACAGAGAGGGAAGCAGCTGGCAAAAAGACATCAAATCATCCTACTGTAACACCAGAAACAATCATTACACACACCCACGAAGGCAGCTCATACATCCGGAGTGACCCTTAGGTGTGATGTGCGTCTTTATTCCAATGGAGACTTGAAACGTTCCATCTGTCATATTACCCGTTTTCAATTCTCACATGTAAGTCCTCGCACAACGTGACAGCGTATCACATCAAAGAAAGAGGTCTGACTCGAGAGGGCAGATGCATTAATTGGCACACAGAAAGGCAATCGCATGTTAAAGTGCAGCAGCAAATTCGAGATGAAAGCGTAGCCCTATCTTTGGTCTCATCTGCCAACCTGGTATGGATTGGAAAAGGGAAAGTGATTGGGCCTTCTGTTATAATTGAGCCTTCTCTTCAATCTTGGAACTTTGCTGTCACTCTCACATGAAATCACACGGGCCTTTGACCATGTTATGTTATGGAACATTAGTCTAAATCTATTTTATGTCAGCACCTTTACCTTAAAATCAATCTCTGTACAGTGGATGGACTCACTGTAATATTATGGCTTACGTTTAACTGAGATTTTCATTTACGGTTTCATTTTTTTTCTATGAACATTTTCCTCCTTTGTGGTCCACTGAGCCAAGGACATTGACGCTGTAATTTTGCTGCAGTCAAAGAAACCTTTTCATAATGTTCTTTTCAGACTGCAAGAGAGTGAATCTATTACAGATGGAGGTAAAGGAAGGAAAGGAGCAGCCTAATGGGATAGTCACATCCCACTTATATCCTAATTTTAAGACAGCACATCACACAACAGATGGCAGAGCCCAAATTGTCAGAGTTTTTGCTTTGTTCATTTTTGCAACATTTTGAAGCAAACCTAATGAGAATTTAGCAAATATGCACAGTACACCAACAGCGCTCAGGGTGGCACAAACCGCACGATAAAATAACACCAGATAACACACATTTTTGCAACAACCAGTTGTCCTCCTGGGAGGCTAAAATAGTCAGATCAAAACCAAGATAACAGCTGGGACATCCTTTGAAGGCAAGTCAGTGCAGTGAACCATCTGGATAATGTATTACTGGACAGAATGACAAAAAAAAAAAAAGTCATTGCCTTTTCGGATGCAGATGCTGCGCACGGTTCCATCCGGTGATTCGTTCAAATGAGGATAATCTTGGCAACAGGGGCTACGTTCCAATACGTTCACGAACATGTCTTTTCTTTTGTCTCCACAGAGTGAAGTTGAAAGAAGGAGTGACGTTTCTCGGGGCTCGTCCCAGCAACCCCACTCAGTGGATAGTTAGCCAGGATGTGAGGAGCGAAGGCCACCGAGTGGTGACTCTTCACTGCCGCAGGAAGGAGTCCAGCTATGATCAGCAAAGGTCAGCACATAAATTATTTCACTTCAAAGGAATATATCAGGCTTTGGGGAGCCTGGCTCATTAGTGACCTTTTCTTGGAAGAAGGAAGTGAAGAAATGAATAAAGTTTTTTTTTTTTTTTTTTTTGCTGTTCAGAATAAAGCAAAACATTTGCTAACACCTACATGATCCTCAGTGACAAGTCAATAGATGCATGAAAGTTGAACCAGTGTTCATTACCATTTTTGTTAAAATTTGATTTGATGCAAAACTGCCGAACTTTTGGAACATGCTACAAAAAGTAACGGTCAGTTTTGTGATACGCACATTTTGAGTTAGGCCAACTTCTTAAAATATTTTTACTGATTTTTACAACGTACAAACAGGCACTAAAACACAGAGTGATGTCTAAACGGTCATCTAAGTGATGCTCCCTCTGCTAAAATGACACACTTGACATGAAGGCAACGTCTGCCGAGGTCACTATAGGGAGAGTAAAGTTAATCGACTTACTGCACTATCTCCCCCCTCCTCTCATCGTGCCCCACCCTTGCCTTCTCACTCTTTATATTTGCGTACTTATTTTCTCACTGCCAAAGCCCCGAAGTTGTTTTGGTCATTTCCTATCTGTATTCACGTCCTTAAGCTAATCTGGCAGATAGGGAAATGATTGCCAACACGAGGAAAAAGGTTGCAGCGTTAATTAAGGGCTGATTGAAGGCCTTTGTGTGTTTTAATGGTTTTTCCTTCTCGGCTCAGGAAGTAGTTTTAATAAATCTAACTTTCTAGTGACAGGTGTAATTTTATGGATTAGAGGCAGATTTGAAGCTGGGGAAAGCTTACTTATTTGCTCTTTAGCTTTCGTTCCACTTAGCAAATTCTAAACCACTCCCTTAAGGAAACAAGACACTTGACATCGCAAGTGCAACTTTATAACTAAAATTGTGCGGGGGTTGTTTAAGTGTAGAGCCGCCTATGAAACATGTATAATTCGAAAGTGTTTTTTTTTTTTTTTTCTTTAGACATGCTGCAATTAGTGTATCATTACAAGGAATGATTATAGCCTAACTACAGAGCTACAGCACATAAAACAAAGACAGCTGTGCTTGCCGTAGCTGTAAAATCAGAAGCAGCTAATAAAGATTTCCCCTAATAGATGTGTCATCCAGTAATTCGCTGTGTGACGCTGCATTTAGACCCGCAGCTACGTTGTGCTGCGCAGACGGTTCCACTCGGATCTCAGAGGCATGTTTATACATGGGTTTTCATATTTTTCACTTCTCAGAACATACAGTACAACTTTTTTTGTTGACTTTATTAACAACCAGTTTGAGCTGCCACGGGAATTCAAAGTCGCCTCCGCACTGAAAACACTTTTCAGTCATTCCCTTCACTCGGCATAATAAGTTTTGACAGCCCAGTCTTATAAATAGAAAGGTTTTGGTTGCTTGCAAATATATACAGGGAAGCGAAATATGCTGTTGATAATCGCTGTGTTTGTCGGTTTTGTCTACTCTCTTTTTTTGTTTTTTTTATTCCTGTAAAAGTACTGGTCAGAATTTTCGGAGCTCCGGTTCACTTTCTGATCATGAATCTTTAGTAGTTGGTGTCAGCAGTTTGCTGAACTCTTGTGGAAATACAGTAAGTGTGAACATATTTACAGTATTTTTTATTTTTTTTACTGGAATAACATTTTGTTTTGAAATCCCAAAACACTTGTTACCAACTTGAATATGTACGGGGGCTGGCCTAATATGTCCAGGCTGAATTGTTGGATTTTAATGATAGCATTCACATGGATTTGATGCTCATGTGTGGCTCTAAGCAGAGCCACAGGACTTTGAAGAACATAAACAGGAGCTTTCAGCAGTGAGCAGCAACACTTTGCTCCTCCTTCCCTCCGGAGCCCTTCTCCTCCTTTATAAAGGTATTATTCTGTGTGCTCTGTCTCTTGACCTCACCTCCTCTCCCACACACACCATTACTCCATTACTGTGGTAAAATCATGTTTTATTGATTTGCTAAGTGAAGGAGCAAGAGACAAGAGTGAGCATAACTAGTCTAATCCCTGCTGTTTGGGCCATGTACGTTGGACTGCTCTTTAATCCCCACAGCTGTCAAATTCACTTCACAGAGAGGACCAAAGACGCCCCGTGATGGCTATACAATACACAATGCTCCAATTTTTTATTTCGTCTGGTCCTCCCCGCTTCCACTCATTTCAATGGAGTTCTTTTAGGAGAGGATTAGACAGAGCTACCTCATCTGTTGAGCTGTCATTCAGCCCGCTTTCTTTCCTCTGCTTCTTCCTTGAAGATAGGAGGATGATGAGGTGTGTGAATGCAATAGGTCAAACAAGCGAGGATCCTTTTCCATTTTAATTTTAATTTTTCAACAACAGCGTGTAACGTGATTATCCATTTAGTCGCATTTGTGAGTTCTACGTGAGCCTTCAGACTCTGCTTCCATTCTGACAAGTCCTTCTACTTAAGAGTACAGTCGTCCTCAAATGTATTCATACAAAAGGCAAAATTCACAATAGTCACTCAAATAACTAGAAACTGAAAAAGTAACAATAAATACAATTTTGCTAAATTACAATTTAGTGCAATAAGACATTGCTTTTGAATTGTGGTTGAAAAGAATAATTTAAAAAAACAAACAAACAAACAAACAAAATTGTCCTGGACAAATATCAAAAATACCTGTCAACAGGTGCACAAGTCTGATTGAGAGTTACAGAAAACACTTGATTGCAGTGATTGGCTCAGAGGGCTGTTCAACAAAATATTAGTTTAAGGGTCCCATCATGCTTGCTTACTTGTTTTTTTGTTTGTTTGTTTGTTTGTTTTGTTTTAAAAATTATTTCTGTTGAGCCACAATGCAAAACTAATGTCATGATTTTCATAAAAAATTTTTATTTATTAATACTTTTATCAATTTCAGCTTATTTTTAGTGACAGTTGTTTTTTTCCTTCTCTAGTGGGAGGGTATGAATACATTTGAGTACGACTGTATCTTTCTTCTTCTTCCTTCATGGGCCATCAGACTTTTTGGGTGCTTTTGAAGTATCATATTCTTGTCCAATCTAAAAAAAAAAAAAGCCATCCAAATTGTTGTATAGGGTACATTGTATGAATTAGAAGATTACTTCACCATCTGTTTGGGTCAGCAAAACAGCCTCGCCGCCACTACCTGCGTCTACTGTGGAAAACCTTCAGGTTTCTGGGATCCACAATCTCCCATAGACACAATCAACAAAGCTCAGAACATTTAACCTGCCGTAGGAGCCGCTGATCCAATTCTACGCTGCAATAATTCAGTCTGTTCTCTGCACTTTAATTACTGTCTGGTTTGGATCGGCCACCAAAAAGGACAGAATCAGACCACAATAGTTAGGACTGCAAAGAATGCCTTCCACCCAGGGCTTGTACATGTCCAGTGTCTGGAGACGGGCAGGTCATGTCACTGCAGACCCATCAAACCCTGCACACGACCTCTGCTCGGGCCTCCAGCAAGCCTCACAAAGCATCGAACACCAAAGACAAGCAGACACAAGAACAGTTTATTCCCACAGGCCGTCACTCTGGTGAACATTTAAATCAGTCTGTAATGACAGGAACAACATTTTATTAATCCCTAACCCTAGACTACTGTATAAACTGTATATTATGTAAATACTTGCTAATATTTAATGCCAACAACATTGCTCTCTGCTCCACTGCACTCTCGTCCACCTACGTCATGCATCTAAGGTGTCAATAACCTTGTATTTATTGTTGTTTACTGTATTTGTTGCTGGATCATGAAAATCAGCACAATTTGCGCGAAACGTTTGGTTCACTTCAAATACATTTGCATATATCCAAAGTTGCATATACTGCTTAAACACTAATTGTCCTTTCTTTAACCTGCTGCCCTTGTTGAAATGCATGTGTATTTTTGTGTAAGTACTTTGAGAGCAAAGAAAATAGTGGAGTCAAATCCTCTGTATGTGTTCAAAGCAATGAAACTGATTTTGATTCCGATCTTACACCTTGGTCAATCGCTTTACAAAGGTGCTCTGAAACAAGCTGCTATTTTTTGTTTATTTATTTATTTATTTATTTTTTACAGTTATCGTATTATTCAAAGGCAGGTGCTGGTACTGGAGTTGAATAATCTGCAGAGAAATCTATTTGACAATTTGTTGACAGATATTACAATTATGACAGCTTTGTTGAAATAGTAAATTTTGGATTTCTTTTCCAACATAGAAAATACAAAAAATAATGATGTGATTCTTGCTGCCAAATCTACCAAAGAACATTCTCTTACATCTGAAGGATATGATTCACAGGCTGTGGCATCTGTGTGGCACCACAGTGCTTCATTTAAAATGAGACATTGTGACACATTTTGCTTTTATCAAAAAAAATTGAAGTTCCTGCGATTTGGATATTGTGGTTGTCCATGTTGCAATTTTGATAGTATTTCGAGTTTCACCGTATATCAGTCATTTGTCCTTTCAGTATCCCAGATTATTATTTTTTTGTTGTCATGACACCTTCCTGCATCTTTCTGCGTAGAGTTTGCATATTCTCTCCATGCAGCGTGGGTTCTCTCCGGGTTCTCCAGCTTCCTCCTACAGTCCAAAAACATGTTGACGTTAATTGGTGATTCTAAATTGTAAGTAGGTGTGAATATGAGTATGCTTGGTTGTTGATAGACTGGCGACTGGTGTCCCCTGCCTTCGCCCTAAGTCAGCTGGGATAGGCTCCAGCCTGCTGCGACCCCAGTGAGGATTAAGCGGTGTATAGATAATGGATGGATGGACACTTTCCTGCATTATATGTCCAGCTTTACCCACCAGAATGCAGCCAGAAAACCGACATTTGCATGGATGCACGGTTACGGATAGGTTACAATAAGAAATGTGACAGCAACAACCTAATATAATGGGAATATTATGGAAATGGTGCATTCTATATATAGATATAGATATAGATATAGAGATATATAGATATAGATATATAGATATAG